GGTATAAGACATCAAATTGCTCTTCTTCCATATGCTCAATCTGATTTGAACAATCAAAACTAGCAATAGGCTGACCGTTGAACGGTTTAGGAAGTTTTGCAAAGCTTGCACTAGCCACAATATCACCAACATTTCCTCTTTGTTGTTCAAAATTATTTATGTCAACTTGTTAGGGAGCACGTGTCCCAACAACTAAATCTTGCAAATTAGAATCTCCTAAACTAAATTGACATTCTTACAACATTACAAATATTTTCATTATGCAAATCTTTGGAAATCGAATTTGAAAATTAAACATCATATTCATATCATTATTACTAAAATTTGGATAAATAGTATACTTAATCACACCTTATCCAATCACTATGAGTGTTTGTGGGCAAGTGTATCCATCAAAAAGTAATAAAGGATTTTCAAAAATAGTTCCTAAGTTATCGTTCCACAGAGATTATTTTCAAGTATCAAGAATAGATTGATTTGATTGTTTAAATGTAACGGGATTGTAATAGACTAAAAATAGAGCTTAATGTTAACAATAAATTAAAAGAACAATAATACGATGTATGAGAGAGATCAGATGAGATGAGACTAGGACTTATGGGTTCACATACTACACTTTTTTATGTTCTGATTAATTTAATCTAGATATTAGTATACAAATATTTGTCAACCACTCATAATTAGTTCTATTAATACCCAATGATCATGCAATGTCAATATTCTTTTCTCTGAGCAAACACCCCCAATGATCATGCAAGGTAATTGATCAATAAAGTATGAAGATCCTATGAGTTTGTTAATTTAATAACGGCTGAAAGAAAGAAATTAAGTATGATTAATCTAGCTCCTTATTTCGTTTTATCCTATAGTTTCATTAATTACACGTGGTACAATCGCCTACAATGCAACTAACTATGGAATGCTAAGGATGATCAAATCTTAACATACACAATATAATCCAATAGAATGAAACCAAACATTAAAGAAAAACCAATACCAACATTAAAGTAAAAATCACATAAAATTTGTAATAGGATCTGCCATAGCCCTAATTATAAGTTTAGTTACTCATAACAAAATAAACTATGAAGAACGTGATTAATAAACCTAAAACCACATAGGAAAACTCAAACAAAAGAAACTCAAAAAGGTAGAAGACAAAGAGAATTCTTATTCTCTGAAGGAGCGCTCAATCACTTGTTTGAACTACAAGGGGAAGCTTGTCGTCCTTGTCAATGGTCTCCAATGACTCTCAAAGATGAGTTTGGGTAGAACTAAGAAGGGGAAGAAGGTGTGTAGAAGTGGGAGTGTCAAGTATGGAGCATAAGTCCTCTTTATATAGGTTGTGGCCTGAGTTTCCAGTTAGTTGAGCTCTATCTTTTCAAATTGGTTTTATCCACAATCAGAATCGCTCCAAATCTTCATATTTAAGTTTAAATTTTAAATTCAAAATTCAAATTCAACTTCACATAGCACTGTCAAGGAATAAAATATCTAATTTTTATCCAAAATATCTCTATAATGCACTAATAACAACTTCCAGCTAAACTGCAATAATTAATAACATAATTAGTCTAAATATATATAAAATAGAGTTTAAGTGTATAAATATAAGTCATAAGATATATCAAAATATAAGCTTATTAACACCCTCATACTTGAGATTTGCTTGCCCTCAAGCAAAAACCCCAGCTAAAGAATAAAGGAATAATTTGAAACATATCATTAAAATAAGAAGCTCAAAACACCAGAGATACAAAGATCACTGAGTTCAAGTGATCAAAAGATATTTAAAATTGTATATTCTCTATCTTCTTGCTCGATCATCAAACTGTGATACTCTACTCCCCTTTCTCTCTTTTAGTGTATAAGGATAAAAATAGAAAACGCTCAGTCCCTCTAAGAAGAAATATACTACCATAAGCTTGACAGTAAACCAACTCTCCACTAAATCAATTGAATGCAATTAAAAATCATGTGGCCAAAAGGTTATAATAATTAAGATGAGATAAATGAAGGAACAAGATACCTAAAGGGTTAACTTAATTAAAACAATCACAAATATCCCCCAGGTTTATAAATGAAACTCTTGAAGTTTATATTTTCACTTTCTTTACTCCTTTTTTCTTTCATTCAAATGTAACCCTTTTTCCTTTTCTTTTTACTATTTTTTTCTTTTGCAACTTACACTTTTTTTTCTTTTTTTTCTTTTCACATAAGAGGTATAGAGAAGAATTTGTCTAACAGTCCAACAACTTAATTGCTCCAGTTACAAACCCAAGGTCAACAAAATATTTCATAATTTTAATATAAAGGACCAAGAAAAATCAATAAAGCTCAAAGTGGATAACTAGTTGTATATCTTTCTCAAACATGTTGAAGGCCAAGAAAAAAATAATCCTAATATGTCTCAATCATATTTAAAACATGCAATCAAAAGGAGTAGCTTCAAATTGGTTACAAGTCAAGTTCTAGAGCATAAATTTCAAGGAGACAATCACACAAAGCAATGAGGAAAGAGATACAATTAAATTAGAATAAAAATACTCTTTAAGGATCAAAACTCATATGCGGGTTAAAGTTTAATGTAGAGCAAAAAATTAGAGATCTCAAATCATTTTATATATTTATATTTTTTTTTTACTCCAAAACTCAATGAATATTACTCAATCATGTTCTTATTATTTTCAAAAAAAAAAATTGAGTTACTTAAGATAAAATTTTCAAAATTTCCTCAAAATAGGGGCACAGAAAATTACTTTAGAGCAAGTAATGAGACAAGTAATAATGGAATTCTCTCATACTTAAAGCATAACATTGTCTTCAATGTTTAGAGAAAAGAAGAAGAAGTAAGGATAAAGAGGACAAGAAAAATAAAGTAAAAGGGACTCCTTGAATGTGAGACAAATTGCATAGAAAAACCATCCTGTTCTGAAAAACAAGAACATAAAATAAATAAAAGTGAAAAAAAAATAAAACACAGGTTGCCTCCTGTAAGCGCTTGTTTTACGTCACGAGCCTGACGTCCTGTTAAATCATGGTGGGAAAAAGGCATGAGTCTCAGAGGTGACTCCCTTGATATGTAGTTGTTTTCCCAACAATTTCTTTTCCACAGTCTTGTCACACCAGAAATATTAATCATAATAAAAGAATCAAAATAAAGAGAAAAAAATTTAAGCTCTAAGTTATGAGGCTTAATAGTAGATGGTTTGAGTTTTTGTCTTTTCTTCTTTTGAGATGACTTCTTCCTTGATCCTCTACTTGGAGTTCCATGCGTTACAAAATTTAGAGTAGGAGAATCAACATCCACAGTGCTCACAAAGTTACAGGTTTCTTAGCTAGAAGAGTACTATAGAGAACTAAAAACTTGAAATACAACTTCCTCATCATCTAGCCTTAATGTGAGCTTTCTCTTTTGCACATATATGATGGCCTTTGTAGTGGCTAAGAATGGTCTCCCTAGTATGATAGGGACATCATCATTTTCCTCCATGTCAAGCACCACAAAATTAGTAGGAAATATAAACTCTCCAACTTTTACAAATACATTCTTTATTATGTCTTTAGGGTATGTGATTGACCTATCTGCTAGCTGAAGTGACATGAGAGTCGGCTTAGGTTTATGCATTTCAAGTTTCCTGAAAATAGAATAAGGCATAAGGTTAATACTTGCTCCTAAATCACATAAGGCCTTATTAATATGAGTTTTTCCAATGGTGTAAGGAATAGTAAAACTCCCTGGATCCTTAAGCTTAGGTGAAAGCTTTCTAAGGAGTATAGCTGAGCACTCCTTAGTGAGCTTCACAATTTCATGTGCTCTCAGCTTTCTCTTGTTGGTCAAAATCTCCTTTGAAAATTTAGCATATTTAGACATTTTGGATATGGCATCGATAAAGGGCATATCGATGTGCGTGCACTTTACCCAATAGGTCTAAGAACTTGTTGAACTCTTCATCGTATGGAGGGTGAGCTTGGAGCTAGCTGTTGTGGGAAAGGTATCTTAAGCTCATAGGGCCTTTGCTGCACAAGAGGTTTTTCATTCTTTTCTTTTTCAGGCTTCGCGCTTAAAGCACTACTTTGCTCATGGAGATGCACGATCATGCTTTTATCATTGACATGGGCGTGCTTTGTCTAGGCACGGGCGCGCTTCTATTATAGTACAGGCACGCTCATCAGTAAGCATAGAGTGCTTGTACGATCACTGTGGACATTCTTTTCATTAAACATGGGCATGCATGAGCCTCTGTTCTACGATTCTTGTAATTTCTTTCCACTTCTAAGGGTGATGGCATTGCATTGCTCTCTTAGATTAGGTTCAGGTTGAGATGGTAATGTTCCCATCACTCTTTGACTCAAAAGATTGGCAAGTTGTTGAATTTGTACCTTTATTTTTTATGACTGAGTTTTCACATCAGAGTTTATCTCAGAGAACCTTCTGTCTATTGTTTGGGCTTGTTGGTCTATTTAAAGGTTTTCCTGTTCCAACTTAGATTCAAGCTCTCTCATCCTCTTGTCAAAATAATGCATATATTGCATCATTTGTTCCTGAAAGTTAGACTAAAATCTAGGAGCCTCCTTTCCCTTTGGTCTTGCTCCTTGATTTTGTATATGGGGAGGACGATAGACATTAGAATTTGCAGGATTATTTTTCCATCCCGAATTGTAGTTGTTGCTTAAGAAGTTGATCTCCTTGGTTTCTGGAGGTTTTATTGATGGATCTTGTGCTCTTAATATTAATTCCATTTGTCTTGATAGAGTTTCTAGCTTATTTGTTATTATGTCGCTACTTTTGTACCTGATAGATTGGAGCGACCTCCTTCTCTTTGCTTCTGTGATGGTCTGTATGTCATTGAAAATTACTGGATGTTAAATTTTCTATCAATGTCTAGGCTGTAGTTGGCCCTTTGCATAAGAAGGATCCTCCAGCGGCAACATCAATTGTGGCTCTATTAGAAGATGAAAGTCCAACATAGAAAATCTGCATCTGCTTCTACACAGGGAAACCATGATGTGGACACCTCCTCAGAAGTTCTCCAAAACGCTCTCACGTCTCAAACAGATATTCAGACTCATATTGTTAAAAATTGGAGATCTCTGTCATCAAATTTGCAGAGAGTGATGGTGGAAAATATTTAGTTAAGAATTGTTGTGTCAGGCCATCCCACGTTGTAATTAAATTAGATGGAAGTGTGAAGAACCATGCGTTCACCCTTTCCATGACAGAGAATGAAAAGAGGCGAAGCCTTATAGCATCTTTGGTGACCCCATTGTATTTGATAGTATCCGTGAGTCGAAAAAATATTTTCAGATGAAGGTGAGGGTCTTTGTCAGGTTGCCCCGAAAATATTGTAGAGTTCTAGACTAGATTGATCAAGGCAGACTTTAATTCAAAATTATTGGCCTCTAAGTCAGGTGCTACAATACTCTTGGCATTACCCTCAACAATGGGTGTCATGTACTCCAAGTTTGATCGTTCTTCTGCCATCTTTTTCTTTTCTCTACACTCCTTCCTTAGTCTATGTGCGATTTTCTTGATTTCTGAATCAAAAGCGAGTTCTACAATAGGTTTAGAACGAGTGAGCATAAAACAAAATAAAAATAAAAATGTTTAAATCAACCAAATACTCGATTTTTTTTATTTTGAAAACTAATCCCCGGCAACTGGGCCAAAAATTTGTTCGTTGGCAAGTGTACCCATCAAAAAGTAAAAAAGAGTTCCAAAGTTATCATCCTACAGAAATTATTTAAGTACCAAGAATAACTTGATTCGATTGTTTAAACATAACGAGATTGTAATAGACCAAAAATAGAGATGAATGTTAACAATAAATTAAAATAACAGTAATACAATATATGAGAGAGATCAAATGAGATGAAACTAAGACTTATGGGTTCACCTACTACATTTCTTTATGTTCTAATTAGTTTAATCTAGATATTGGTATCAAAATATTTGCCAACCACTCATAATTAGTTCTATTAACATCGAATGATCATGCAATGTCAATATTATTTTCTCTGAGCAAACACCTCAATGATCATGCAAGGTAATTGGTCAAGAAAGCATCCCTATGAGTTTGTTAATTTCATAACGGCTGAAAGAAAGAAATTAAGTATGATTAATCTAGTCCTTTATCTCGTTTTATCTTATAGTTTCGTTAATTACATGTGGTACGGTTGCCTATAATGCAACTAACTATGGAATGCTAAGGGTGGTCAAATCTTAACATACATAATATAATCCAATAGAATAAAACCAAACATTAAAGAAAAACTAATACCAACATTAAAGTAAAAATCACATAACGTTTGTAGTAGGATCTGTCATAGCCCTAGCTATGAGTTTAGTTACTTATAACAAAATAAACTACAAAGAACGTGATTAATAAACTTAAAACCACAAAGGAAAATTCAAACAAAAGAAACCCAGAAAGGTAGAAGATGAAGAGAATACTCGTTTTCCGAAGGGGTGATCAATCACTTGCTTAGACTCTAAGAGGAAACTTGTCGTCCTTACCAATGGTCTCCAATGACTCTCAAAGATGAGTTTAGATAGAACTAAGAAGGGAAAGAAAGTGTGTAAAAGTAGGAGTGTCAAGTATGGAGCATAAGGCCTCCTTATATAGGCTATGACCTGAGTTTCTAATTGGTTGAGCTCTATCTTTTCAAATCAATTTTATCCACAATCAGAATCGCTCCAAATCTTCATATCCAAGTTTAAATTTTAAATTCAAAATTTAAACTCAACTTCACATAGTACTTCCAAGGACTAAAAATATCTAATTTTTATCCAAAATATCTCTATAATGAGCTAATAATAACTTTCAGCTAAACTGCGATAATTAATAACATAATTAGTGTAAATATATATAAAATAGAGTTTAAGTGTATAAATATAAGCCATAAAATATATCAAAATATGAACTTATCAATGGGCAATTTGTACAACATTTTCATTAGATGCATGCTATTTTCATGCCCTAATTACTGCAATATATTATTTTGCAACTATAAATAATTGATGGATCGATAGACAACTATATAGATCAGTCAAACACTACTAAAAAGTAACTCTTTATGTGGTATTTATAATTTTGTTATTGTAGTGAAATAATATTACAATTTTCAGTCATATTTCTATTAAGATTACACTATTTTACAAAGGTGAATGTTATGTAATAATAAAAATTTTGTGCTGACTTTTTTATATAATAGATGTCCTAGCTTAAGTCGCTTTATTTCATGGCGACTTATATATAATTAAATGTCGAGAACAATCGTGTTAAAGTATAAGTTGTACCAAAAAGATATAATAGTGCATTTACACATAAGTTGTATAAATTTAGTGTGACTTATACACTAGCACAATGGTGCATCACTAAGTTACATAATATGAAATTTAAAATTGTTTTAAAGTAGTGTGACTTATGTAGTATAAAAAAATATTTTTTGAAATTTTTATAGAAAAGGACATATTTATAATAATGTATTTTATTTTATTTTATTTTAAAAATTCCATTTTATTAGTTTCTCCATCTCATGTAAAAAAAAATTTAAAAACAAGAAAACAATGTGAAAAAGCAATGGCATTTTGATAATTAGAAGTGAAAAAAAAATTATAATCGAACAGACTATAATTAGTAAACACTCTTGCAAACAAATTTTCTGTTCTATAATTTTTCTCTAGTTCCTTCAATTATTGAAAGGGTCAAAAATTTTAAGCCTAAATATAAGTCTGTTAACCGGTGTTTAGAAAACTCTACCGCAACTTCTTTTTGACAGTTTTTTAAAATACAAGGAACAGAGTGAACTGGGCTATTGTTTGTCTTCTTCCTCCTTCTCTCCATCTATGGAATTGTATCCCGGGTCAAGCACCACGGTCAGCCATGGCAAGTTTTTGTTCTTCTCTTCATGATTCTCTCTATTGTTATATCTCGCCTTTCATTATTATTGATTTTTATTTAAGTTTCCCAAATCTATTTCCAAATCCCATAAGTATCAAGATTTTGTAGGCACAGGAGCGAATTTGCTAACTAAAATATACTATAGACAAGTTGCATTTGAATAAATAACTGTATAGTTCTTGAAGGTAACATTCAATCTGCTACGTGTGTAAATTTAAATAATGAGCACAGTAATCACATCACATCTGATCCAAATAATAGAATAAATTTCAGGCATGCACATCCCAACATGATAATTGACGAGACGGTTATGTTGCATTTCTAAATAGCAAAGCTTCAACGAGGAACCAGATTTGATTGCAATAATCTCAAAAAAAATTGATTCTTTTATTTTTAGGGGTATGACTCTATTAAATACAATTTTCTTTTTGAAAGAATAATTAGAAATAGAACTTCCAATAGAAATTAAGATTAGGAGGTCTCTGGTGTTTGAATGTTTCTCTTACTTCTCTGCAGATGTAATACTGGGATTGCACTGACAATGTTAGAGGCATTAAGTTTATGAAGGGTAGGATGCGAACCTTTGCGTAGAGACTGCTGATCGAATGATTAGCAGGTGACCTTCAAAGGTGAGTAGTTGAATGACACATAGAATTGTAGGTGAATAACGTGCTGAGATTGACGCAATGAAATAGAGATTGATGCTTTATGGCCAATTTTTCTTCCTAGAAGCTTCAGTATAATTCTAACTTCTTCGTTTGGAAAGTTACGATACAGCCGCCCAAAACTATTAATATTTAATAAACTTTGGTTACCATAAAAGTTAAAATCACTTTAATTTTTATTTATAACAATAATTTAAGGATTATGTTATAAGTTTTCATATTAAAATATGGTCCAAAATCTTCATTTCAAGATAGTCAATAATTATAATATTTATATTAATTATGTTATAATTAATAAGACTTATACTTTAATAATTTATATTATTTATAAAAAAATTATTTTGTATCATAAATAAAATTTTATTTTATGCTTTATTAAATTTTGTTAGCAAATTCAATCTTCAGCATCGTGCCCTCTCTTATATATTCTCCATCTTTACTCTTATATTAAGTAAAATAAAATTATGATCTTGAGAGAAAAGATAAAAAAACATATTGTCACTGGTTGTTTGTAAGAAAATGATGGAATGAGCGTTTTGTTTGTTTTTCATGAAAAAAACATCTTTACCCAATCACACACTAGTTAACTTTATTGAAGCCTCAACCCCTTCATTTGCATGATAGAATTAGGCAGTGAAATACAATTTTTTTTTTCTTAGGCTTTTATTATCTTCTTATTCTTATAATTGAGATTTATAAAATTTAACTGTCTTGTCGAAGGAAATATTTTAAAAATATTTTGAAATACTTAAAATGATGTAAAATATTAAAGTCACTAATTATTTAAACATTTTTAATAAAATAGAACTTAGATTTAAAAATAGATTCTTTTATGTTAGAAAACTACCAATTTCATTAAAAATTAAGAATTTGCCATGAAATTATATAGTTTCTAATATTTATCCTATTATACTACCGATTAATTTGATAAAAATTCTAAATTTAACTGTGTCTACATGTAACATAGCATGCATATTTAATATAAAAATAATAGGTAATAATTTTTTTGTATTAATATTTATGGCGTTGGTTGATTTATCTATCTAATCCATCAAGGTAGAAATTCATAAATTATAAACTTTGAAAAATGATGTAATATATTAGGGGATTAAAATATTAGAGAGATTTCTATTAACCGTCACAATTAAATCATACAAGTAGATTCATAAATCCCATGAAACTTAAAACTTTCAAGCTCTTAAGTTGTGAATCTTTATCATTTATATTATTCAACTTCTTTATTCTTACTTAATGTTGGAGTTCTTAGCTCATACTTGTTACTTCAACTTCAACAATCTCTTCCTTAAGTATGAATCTCTTTCATTAGGTAATTTTTTCTTCCAACAAAAGTCTTTAAATCATTTTAATTACAAGTATTTATAGTACATGTCACTTGACTCCCACATCGTTAGGAACTCAAACACATCACCAATTTACTTGAATATGCATTCAAGTCAATCCTTTAGATGAACCATCAACTTTGACACCATTATCAAGGGAAAAGAAAAAATTCCTTTGAATTTTTTATGCTTAGAAACACTCACTCAATAAAAAAGAAAACAAAAGAGAAGAAGAAACACATAAACTTAATGTTGTTTGACATTTCACAAACTCTTAAGAAGATTTTATTATTTTATAATTTTTTATTAAATAAAATAAATTATTTCACATATAACAAATGTAAAAACTTGCAAACACTCACCTTTATAATTTTTTAATAAAAAAAATTATAAATCCTTTGTTTACACATAACTTCTCAAACCTCTAATACACCCAAAAAATAACTATTATTTTAGTAAATGAAAATAAAACAAATTTTCTATTTATAATTTTATTTTACATCTTCTTTTTAAAAAATTGAATAAGAATAAGTAACTAAATATAAATTTAACAACTCATTTGTAAATTATAATATGTTGAACTAATTTATTGATTTGATGGTCCATTTCGATAATAATACATATAATCATAAATTTTCTCTTGAGAAAGAAAAAGAGAAAGAAAAATAAAAGAAAAATTAATTATTTTTTTGGAATGATATTGTATATAAGATAAGAGATTATTCTCTAATTAATTTGTAAATTATAATTAGCTAAATTATTTCATAGATAAGATAAACCATTTGAAAAGCAAAATATGCAACCATACCTAAAGAGAGAACTAGAAAAAAGGCAGATTAAAAATATTTTTTTACGTTGAAATAAAATTATATACAAAATAAACATTATCTTTTAATTAAATGAGCAATAACATTTTATCCTTTTCTATTTTATCCTTTATTATAATTTTTTTCTTTGTGCATTCCTATCATTATTATTAACTCAACCTTAGAATAGTTATTCTTGTTTTTGTTTCATCTTTCATTTCTCAAACGAATCAAATGTATGTTTATGGTTATGATAAAAATAATTGTTGGTATTTGGTGGATTATATTTGTACTCAAAACAAAATTTAAAGTTTAATTAAATAAAAAATAAAATTAGTTTCAAGCTGTGCTAAACATGCTTCGACTAATTTTTGCAAAAGTAGGATATTTAAGATATATCTAATTAAAAGCTTAAAGGTACATCAAAATAGCAGAGTTTATATTAAAATCTGTGTTGATATTATTTTAACGTTAGACTTAAATATATTTTTAAGTTCTTTAAAATATGTTAATTTTGTTTATTAAGAATATGAAAATTAAAAAAAATCACAGAAAAAAATCAAAATTTGATAAATTTTAAAGTATCTCTTGATGTTATCATCAACTTTTGCTTGATGCGACAATTACTCAGAGAAAAATTATTTTTCTTTTTAGCTTTATTAATTGAGTAACATCATTTTCAATTTTTTGGCTTTGATCTTACGAACGTTAAGTCCGTTGAAAAGTCTTCAATATGCTCCTATGTATGTTTGGCCTCCATTCCATTCAGTTCTCTTAATTACTCTTATGTGACAAAAGCATCAACCAATCAATCAAAGTCACGGTCAAGAAAAATGACAGGCGTGGCGGCTACGTAAATTGGTCTTTATTGGACTACAAATTTTGCATTTCCTTCTAAAGTTTGAACACAATAGTCGCTGTTTCCAAGTTCCAACTACGTGTGTGTAATATATAATGGTTTCTTTTTCTAACAGAAGTTAATCCCATTCTACAGGTTTCCAAAACAACCAAATAACGGTTCTGTGCTAATAAATTATAAACTGAGAAGTGAAGAGAGAAAAAGAGGAAGGGCTTTTTTATCGAGTGATCTTCAAAGCCACCAACTCCATGTGACAGCTTCCGCATCCCCTTGAGCATAAATTTGAACCATCCAAAGCACTCAGGACCTTAATCTCTCTAACTCTTATACAGCTTTTTATATCTCTCACACCCGTTCAAGGGTCCATCTCAAAATTGGAAAAGTTTTACCTTGGTGATCCTTTATTCCATGGACCTTTCTGTGATTGTTTCATTATTATTTATGACTATTTAGATATTTTGATTAGAAGATAAGTTTGCCGCTGATTTTTGTTCATTAACTTTATTTTAAAGTATTACACTTTACACCTGTTCCATAAGCCCTAGACAGATCTGTACCAAATGTATCCTTATAATAACTCTTCCATAGGAATATCCACTTTGGCACTTGTTAGCCTTGATTGATAAAAGCCCCACAAGTCTTTTTTAGATTGTTATTCTTCATACCCAGATAACAAAACTAGGGAATTTGTCCTTTTTTAATTTCTTCAGCTTTCGAAAATGAAAAGTTCAAATAATCAATACCCATTACATTCTGCTTCAAAGCATTTCAATGCTCATCTCCAGCTTCGTTTCCTTCCCTATCTCCTCCTTTTGGCCTTTGGCATAACCATTGGAGTCATCATCAGTTTCTATATTAAAAGCTGCACCTTCAATCTACAGTTCTCTCAATTCTCACTCTCTTCATTGCACAAACCAATGCTGCCTCCAATTGAAAGTCCAAAACTATCTAACCTCAGTCATGTAGGATTGAAAGAGTTTATTGGGCCTTTTCATGCGATGCATGGTATGAGTGATGAAGAACTGTTATGGAGAGCGTCAATGACCCCTAAGATCCATGAATACCCTTTTGATCGAGTTCCAAAGGTGGCCTTCTTGTTCTTGGTAAGGGGTCCTGTGCCATTAGCTCCTTTGTGGCAAAAATTCTTCAAAGGGCATAAAGGGTACTACTCTATTTACGTGCATTCGAATCCATCTTACATTGGATCAGACCCAGAGAGTCCAGTGTTTCATGGCAGGAGAATTCCCAGTAAGGTTAGTTGCTTTATTCTTCAATTACATTTTTACATTCACAATTACTTATTCCGAATGAATAGTATTCTATTGAATTAAAATTATTGTAGATATGCAAGGTGATTAATAGAAAGAACAACTAAAAATGAACGAAAAAAATAAAAAAAAGTACGCACAAATAAAGTAAGCCCAAAGAAGGAGGAAGGGGAAGGTAATAAAACAGAACAAAGAAGAGGGGGCAAATGTAATTGCTTCATATCTTTTAGTGCCTCTTTGGCCTTTGAATATCATTTCCGTGACAAAAAAAGGGTTTTCAAACGAATCCTTGCCAAAAAAAAAAAAAAAAAAACAGAGAAACTAATCATAAAAGAGAAATGACACTTTTTTTTTGTTGCTAAGCTTTAGGTTAAAGAGATCCACAAATCTAATTCAATAAAAGCCTTAGTTTGATGACTCATTTACACACTAAAAATAAAATGAGCAAAGGATTTTAAACTTATGAGTTACAACTTCTCAAATTTTAAACTTCTTGATCTACCCAATCAACCCCCCTTGAGATTAAAAACTACCCAATATAGCAGTCATTTGCCAGCCTCGTATGGCATTTACTCATTCCCATTTTGAATCGAATAAACATAAGAAAATGTGGTCGAAAGATCTAAGAAACTTAAATCTAATTCTAGATCCATCATTTTGTCTCAATTTAGAAAGAAGCGGTGATTAGCATTTAAACAGTAATGCTGTTCATCTGATTTAACTCACATAATAATGCAGAAAGTAGAATGGGGAAAATTCAACATGATTGAAGCAGAGCGTCGCCTGCTGGCCAATGCCCTTCTTGATTTCTCAAACCAACGATTTGTTCTCATATCAGAATCATGCATCCCTCTCTTCAACTTTTCAACAATCTACTCTTATTTGATGAACTCTACCCAAAACTATGTCATGGCTTATGATGAGCCTAGTGCAGTTGGACGTGGACGTTACAACATCCACATGTCGCCAATGGTCACACTCGAACAGTGGAGAAAAGGGTCTCAATGGTTTGAAATGGACAGAGATCTTGCACTAGAAGTAGTATCAGATAGAACCTACTTCCCAGTTTTTCAAGAGTACTGCAAGAAATCATGTTATGCTGATGAGCATTACCTGCCAACATTTGTTAGCATCAAGTTTTGGGAGAGGAATTCAAATAGGAGTTTGACTTGGGTTGACTGGTCAAAGGGTGGGCTACACCCTGCTAAATTTGTGAGACCAGAGATTACTGTGGAGTTCTTGGAGAATTTGAGGAATCAGAAATGTGAGTATAATGGAAACAGCACAGATGTTTGTTTTCTGTTTGCAAGGAAATTCTTGCCCCCTTCATTGACAAGGCTCATGAGGTTTGCTCCACGGGTCATGCACTTCCACTTGTAATACTTTAACATGTACAAAAGCATTGGTCTCACACTAGTAATTAATAATTATGAAACGAAAGGGTAAATGCCCTTAAAGAGAGACATCTTCTCGCGTCTACTTCGATTTTGAAGAATATGTTTTCAGATAACAAATATATAAAAAGGATTAAAAATTTAAAAATAAACATAATTATATACAATGTTATCAACAATGTTAATTTTTAAATGTTCAAATAATAAAACTGATTATTTAATTCATTCTTTCCATCTTGTGAGTGTTTTCATCTTCTGATAAACTCATTCTCCGATCACAGTCCAGCATATTCTCCATGGATCTCGGTTACTGAGTTTCTTTGTATTGGGTTTCATATCTTCCTAAGTTAACATTCAAAGATCATCAAATTGAATAAGTTCGTCGGTATCAGGAAGCTCAACTTAAACAAATTAGAACAGAAAAAGTTGGCGGGCAAAAGCAAAGTAAAATGCGTTTGGACGCCTCTAAAGTAACAAGGTCAACAATAGCATCTCATATCTAAATCAAAACACACTTTTCTGTAGGAACTCATTTCAGTCTACGTTTTTTGAACGACTAGGTGTTGATTTTCTTTACCCTCACTTCATACTTTTCCCTCTTCATTTTACGTTACATTCACTTCATAACTTTTAAGACTAACTAATTTACATGGAATTTTAAGTGGATTATAGAAGTGTAAAACTAAAATTATCCATCTTAATTCTTGGTCAACTAGTTCAATTTGATTAATATTAGATCTTTTATAATATGTACACTAATTTTTAATTAATATTAAATTAAAAAATAAAAACATTTAATAACTTAAAATTATAAAATATTGATATATATATATATATATATATATATATATTTCATATAACAAATAATAGAATGATTAATAAGTAAAAGTCTGACAAGGGCAAGTTCCTGATAGCAATTAAAAACTACGGGACTACAGGTAAAAATTTAATACATGTTAAAAACTTAATTACTTTCAAGTAAAAAGGAGAAGATATAATTGAATAATCATTATTAATTATTGTGGAACCCACTGGGTGTGTAGCCACAAAATATTTTCCTTGGAGTCAATATGATCGAAAGCAATAAAAAGATTTAAAATAACTTCATGCAGTAGCTCGGGAAAACCCAGGTTTCATAGGCTAGAAGCTCCACCTCCAGCTCCCCTGCACGCATCTTCAGACACGGAAGTGTACTCAGACACCGAGTCAATTAACGTGTCATGACAGGACGACACCTGGACCCCACGCAACTCTTCGATCATATTGACCACGTGGCTCATCCTCGGCCGTTGATCAGGCGCGGTCGCAGTGCACGCCATAGCTATCTGCAGCAGCGCCACCATCTCCTCCTCAATATCCTTATATCTCAGCAGTTCAAGATCGAACACTTCAGCCGTCCACTCCTCCCTCACCACCGACTGGACCCACCTAGGTAAGTCCACCGCCACCGCCAATGCGCCGCCGTCCACGGTGGAGGGACACTTTGCCGTCAGCATCTCCATCAGCAGAACGCCGAAGGAGTACACGTCAGACTTCTGGGTCCGTCTTCGGCCGTCAGATGCCTCAGGCGCGCGGTAGCCGTTGGATCGTGAGTTTGATGGGCTTGCGAAGATGGAGAGCCCGAAATCGGCGACGCGCGCGTTGCCTGCCACGTCGACAAGGACGTTTGTGGATTTGATGTTGCCGTGAGTGAGTTTATGATTACTGGAGCTGTGAATGAAGGCCACGCCTCGTGCCGCTCCAGCTGCTATCTTCAGCCTCGTGGTCCAGTCTAGCGGGGTTCGCCCCGGTCCTCGGTTACCTGTGGGAAGACACCAATTTACCCATCAAGTTTTCCTTTATTTACTCATTTGCCACTGCATATCTATTGAATTCGCCCTCATCTTGTGTTGTTTTTTTTTTTACATTTTTTTAAAGACCCATTATTTTTTTTTTTCATGCTTAACCACATCTTTTGTTATGATTATGATTTAAATTTTTTATGTTGTTTTTTTAATCACTTAATTTTTTTTCATTTTTGAAATTCTTTTAATTTCATTTCTCAATTATTTTTCCTTCATTTACACTCCTTAATTTTTTTCTTATTTTTTTACGAAATAAATAATCTTCTTGTGCTAAAGATTCATGAACTAAAACATTAAATTGCCCAAAAAATTCTGAATTTTTTAAGATATTAATTTCATATTTTACAAAGTATTTTAAATACTATCAATTTTTTTACTAAAACTTCTAACTTCTAAACTTTTACAATCATTTTATATTTTAAATCAATTATATACCTTTTGAATAAAAAATCAAAATTTAAAATTTTAACATTAAAAAAATTAATAAGTAGACAAAATAAAAATACCATTAAACCTTAATTTATTTTATCTTCTTTTATAACATGCTAATGCGACATCTGACTTTTACGTAAGGGTTCAAGTAACAGTGGCCTACTTTGGCTTGTGTGTGTTATATTCTGAGAGTACGGCGGCCGAAGATGAAAAGCAAAAGGCCAAAGGTTGTTTTGGAAAAGAACTAAAAGCAAAAGAGAAAATATATAAAGACACTACTTGTATTGTCTGTTCTTTTTCTTCGTTTGGAAGACAAGAATCTAACAAAGTTGCACAGTGGGATAGTTTCAGTAGTCCCTGTTCCTAGACGGCGACGATTGTGCGGCTTCTGCTCATTTAACCCTTGTTTTGTCTACCATGAAAAATGCACAAGAATGGTATGGAAGGAGGATGGAAAAGGATTTGTTGATCCTGTGCTATAAACAAAGCATGCCTAACCCCACCGTCCAACTTCAATGTATGAATAAAAAATTTAATAACTTCTGAATTAAAGTTACTAATTATAGCAATCCAATTTAATTTAGATCACTTGACGCCAAATTTCATACAATTTATAGGTATATTATTTAAAATTTTATATTTTAAAATATATTATACATTAAAATAAAGTATTAGAAGTGTGTGTTAATTTTGTTTTTGTACAACGTTGAGTTTTACCTAGCATTACGAGTAATGGAATGGAACAACTAAAAACAAAAATCTCGAGCAGCGAGAAAAACTAGATGATGATGTAATGATTTTACCGTGAAGGAGGCAGAAAAGGGTACCATTGGGCATGTAATCAGAGACGAGCAACTTCTCCTCCCTGGCGAAATAGTAAGCCCTCAAACTAACAACGTTGTCGTGTCTCAACCTCCCCAGCACTTCCATTCGCTGCTCGAACTCCCTCTTCCCTCCCACGTTCGCATCCTTCAACCTCTTCACGGCAACCACAGTCCCATCATCAAGAACAGCTTTATAAGCCGTACCCAACGCACCCTTCCCCAACATCTCCGCAGAGGCACGCAACAACTCTTCCAACTCAAACCTCTTCACCCCTTCCAAAAACACCATTTCAGTTCCACCCTTCCCCACGCCTCTTTGCCCCGAATAAGCACTCACTTTTTCACTTTCCAAACCCTTCGAATTTTTCAAATTCGACTCATTTTGCCCCTCCCTCAACTTAGTGTAGTTTCTCCAGTAGTAGTAATAGAGAAGCAGGGACACTAATGCAAGCACCATAAGATCGCCGAGAACAATGGCTATTAAAACCATTGCCCCCATTTTCGGAGCGCCGTTTCCTTCACGGGTTTTACTCCCTTGTACGGCTTCGTTCTCAGGTTTTGTCGTTACGGTGTCGTTTCGGGTATTCAACGGAGAAGCGAGGGCTGGCATGGCTTTACATTTCTGCAACGGGACCCCACAAAGATAAGGGTTATGAGAGAAAGCGGATCCGGGAAAACCCGACAGAGATTCGGGTATTTGACCCGAGAGATGGTTACTTGAGACGTTGAAGTCTTGGAGATGAGAGAGGGTAATGCTGGGAATGTGGCCGTGGATTTTGTTAACGTCGACGCGGAGGGTCAGAAGGTGAGTCAAACGGTTAACCGTAGCCGGAATCTCGCCGGAGAGGTTGTTGTGAGAGAGATCGAGGCGGTACAAGCGGGCGAGCGACGTGACGGTGACCGGGAACTCGCCGGAGAATTGGTTGTGAGAGAGGAAGAGAAGCTTGAGGGCGGAGAGGGTTGTGAGATTGGGAATGGGACCGTTGAAACGGTTGCGTTTTAGGCTTAGGATTCGGAGTTGGGTGAGAGAGGTTAAGGGGTGGAAGGAGGCGGTGAGGTTGAGGTCTTCGAGGACGAGGCGAGAGACGCGGTTCCTGAGACAGGAAACGCCGTTCCAGGTGCATGGGTTTGTGGAGGTTGCGTTCCATTTGGTGAGTTTGTTGGAAGTGTCGGATAAGGCTTTAAAAGACATGAGGGGATGGAAATCGGGGTTCGTGGAGGCGTGAACGACGACGGGAGAGTGAAACGACAGGGAGAAAAGGGAGGCGAGAAGAATGAGAGTGGATGGTGAGAATGGGGATTGCATAGTTGCAGAGAGGAGTGGAAGAAGAGTTGGAAGGAGCTGGTGAAGGGTGGCGAGAGTGGTGCGATTGGTTCTGTATTGTTGTGAAGAGCAGCAAAATGATAATAAATCCCATCTTTCCTTAATTATTAAATAATTTTTATTAAAAAGTATTCAGATAATATGTAAAAAATATAGGGAAAGTAAAAAAATGTCGAATTTATACTTTTGGGTGTCTATATTTAATGAGATATTTTCAATTTTTTATGAAAAATTAATTCATTAAAATTAATAACAAATTATTATATGCTAAAATTTTGTATTATACTATTTTTATTTCTCTTTATTTGTTTAATAGAGAGAAACTTTTCTATTAATCTGTTTTCGTGTAGGTTTAAGACAATGTTAATTAATCTTATTTTAATAATATCTTTTTGTCTGAATACATTATTTTAGTCTCTAAAATGATATAAAAATTACAAAATCAAATCATTTTAGTCTTAAAATTATAAAATCAAGAGTTTTAGTTTTAAAGATATTTATTAGTGGTGTTCTTAAAATTAAAAAAAAAAAGTAACTATAAGAAATTAATTATTTTAATTTCTAAAAGCATATGAACCATTTAATTTAGGGTTTAGGGTTTAGGGTTTAGTCTCTACAAATATTTTTGTTAGGAAATAGTCCTTCTAAAGTAAGTAATTTAAGAATTGGTTCTTGCTGTTAATTCTCTCTCTGTTAAGTGCTGAGTTAGTTGTCAGAGAGTCAGCTCAACACTCCACGTGGCCCAATCGCTTCTTACATGACATGCCATGTCATTTATTTTTTAAAATTAATTTTTGCAAATAACCCCTCATTATATTTTTTATATTTGCAAACAAGTTCAATTTTTTATTCTCTCATCCCTCCCCTTCTTCCCCCTTCTCGCAACCACTCCTTCACAGTCCATTCCCTTCTTCTTCTCACACCCACACCTCTACTTTCGCCTCCTCTCCTTTCCCCAACCCCACAACCACAATTCCAACCTCTTCTCTTCCTCCTCCTCACACCCCTCCTCCTAACCCTGCCAAACTTATCAATGATTTTAATATTGAGTCAAGTTGTGGTATATTTAGAAGAATGAAAAAAGCAGCAAACTTTACTCCATAAAACAACCCTCTCCTTAACAATGAAAGGAATGCTTTACAAGACATCAAACAAAATGACATGTTGAGAAATTTGTAAAAATCCATAAATGCAAAAACAGATGAGAGATGAGGTCACAGTAACATATTAAATCCAAGCTATCACACAAATGCGTTAACCCATAACTTGGAAACTCAGGTCCTATGATATGTGTAAAGAAAAATTAAGTAATTAGAGAAAATCTCTCATTAAATAGCTTTGTTGTAACTATGTTGCCACTTTACACCCACGTCTTTACTGTCGAAGACATTTTAATTGGAATTGGTATTAGTATTCAAGAGTTGTGTCTTCCCACTAGATTGTTCCACCAGTCCTTTGATTGCAATTAATGTGTCCTTGCAGAGTTGGAATTCAAAGAAGCTTTCTCCAATCTGGGCATCTCTCTACTTGCATGAATTTTAGGAAAGGAAAAGTCGAAGCTCTCTTGTCTATAGTTATGATTGAAGTGTTGATTTACGGATGGGTGCCAGTGGAGGTACTAGTACAGTTTGCCAGCTATCACCTCCTCCTTACTACTTTCTTGAGGCCACAATCTTACATAATCTAAAACAAAAGGCACAAAATACCAATTCCAAACCAAAAGCTCTTACCTTTGTGCATAACCTCATTTAGACACAAATTTATGCAACAACGCAGTCAAGTAAATTTCCTCATTTTTGACACCTCCAATATCGGTTTTATTCCCCGTCGCTATGGGGTGTGGGTGGGAGTGTGTGGATGAAGGGGAGGAGTGGTGGTGCAAGGAGGAAGAAAGGGAGAGAGTGGCAGTGTAAGGAAGGAGAAAGGAAGGAAGTGGCCATGGGAGAAACGAGTAGGGGTAGGGGTGATGGAGTTGTGTAAAAGAAGAAAAGAATGGAGAAGAAGAAAGATTTTTATGCAATTTTATAAAATAGGTTTAGAAGTTTATTTACAAATTTTAATTTTAAATAATAAATAATAAATGACATAGCATGCTACATAGGCTGTGACTGGGCTTCAAGATGGCCACGTGGAGTGTTGAACTAGCTCTCCGTTAGCCAGCTCAACACTTAACAAAGAGAGTTAACAACAGGGACCAATTCCTAAATTACCTATTTTAAAAGGATCACTTCCTAATAAAAATAATTGTAGGTACTAATAACAAAAAAACCTATATTTATAAGGACAAAAAACATAATTAAGTCTTTATAGAATTACTAAGTTAGAATATATTAAACTAAATTAGTTATATTTAGTTGGTTTTAAACTGAGATAGCCAATCTCATTGAAACTTAGCTAATTCAATAATATCTCTTATGTTCACTTTTGATAATATATTAAAGCATATTAAGAATCTTTGGCTCACATTGAATTCTTTTGCAAACATAACATTAAAAGGGAACAATAAAGGTAGAAAATCCAATGATCAAAGTAGCTAGAGAAAAAGAAGTTCGGGCTTTAGAAGTGGTAAAGGTGATGAACTTAGAGATAAATTAAGTTGTTAGATTTGTTATAAATCAGGGCACACTACCTACTATTGCTTTCATATATTTGACAAAACATATGAGACAATCACATAATAATGATGTGAATACCCAATTTTATCCGGGTCCCTATCAAAAATAAATTTTAAAATAAAAAATTAAATATAATAATTTCTTTTTTAAGAGGTTAAGAAAATAGATAAAAAAATTAATTTAAAATTTAAATTCAAATTTTTAAATGTAAAATCAGATTTAGAAATGGTCAAAGTAGTTGGTAGATTTTTAGGAAAATTGATAAAAAAGAAAAAAAATTGATTACTAGTTATCGAAAAATAAAGGAGCCTTTATTAGGATCTAGGGTTTTAGAAAATGCCTATAAATAGGAAGCTTAGGTCTTCAGAGGAGGGAACTTTTAGGTAGACACCTTTTATTTTCCTTATAGAGATACTTTGAGAGCACAGAGAGAAAAAAAAATAGAGAATTTAAGAGAGAAAGCTCAGGAAATGAAGAGAAAGAGAAGATTCAAGAGAGAAAGAGTTCGAAAAACAGAGAGAAAGAGAAAAGAGCAAAAAAGAAATCAACTGAGAGTTAAAACATAGTCCTAAAGATCAATTGGAAAGAACAAACCGAAAGAGAGATTCAACCATGAGGGGAAAAAGAAAAACTTCCATCAAGTAAGTGTTCTACATTTTATTCTTTAGTTTGTTTCTCATCCTCCCGCTATCTAATAAAGAATTTCCTCTTTGTTCATTTTCCATCCTCTCTTTTTCTAATAATATTTTTTCTTCTTTGTTCATTTCTCATCTTCCCTATATTTATTAAGGATTCTCCTTCTTTGTTTATTTATTTTATACATTCTTCTCTTCTTCTTCATAATCTAACATTTTTTGCAAGTGTAGTAAATAAATAAATATATGAAATGAGAAAATTCAATAAAATTTCTTTTTTATAAATTCTAGTAATTTTTCTAACCCTAAATTACTTCTCCCTCAGTCAAACCCCTAAAAAAAATAAAAATCCAAATCCATAAAAATTAATTTTTTTTCACTAAATCTAAGTATTACCTTTTTGCAAACCCTAAAAATAAACTATTTTTTTTCTAACTAATTTTTTTTTTTTTTGCAAACCCTAAAAAGAATATTTGTTTTTCTAACCCAAAATCATTCAATTTTTTGCAAGGTCTAAAACAAACCATTTTTTTCAACCCTAACAATTTTGCAAATTATAAAAATTTAATTTTTCTAAATCTTAAAATTCTTTCTTTTCATAAATTCTAAAAACCCTAATTTCTTTGCATATCCTAACCTTAAAAAAAAAAACTTAATTCCTAAATCGAATAAGAGTTATTTGTTTATTTGTTTTGTATGTCTCTCGTTTGTTTCTTTTTTTTTGCGTGCAAAAATCTCATATTAAAAGGTATATCAATTTTGCATTATTATAAAAAAATAAGTCTTTTGAATCTACGCAACGGTCAAGTAATTTTGATACAGTGGAGGATCCACCTTCAACGTTACTTGGATCGTAAGGGTTTATTGAGTAGTTGTGTGCTAACTTGAACCTTGTGCAGGAGTGGATTTACTTAAAAATGATAATAATAAAGAAAAATCAAGTTTTTTTCACAAAAAAAAGAAAGAAAGAAAATCTTTGAAACTTATTCAAAACATAATTTTCGAAAAAGAACTACATGTATTTTTTATTCCTGCGTTACACACGGAGGATACGTAGAAGCGGGAACCTGACCTGTCAAGTCCAATTTTTTAAATGTTTTTTCAGGTTCAAAAATATTTTTAAAATTGTTTTAAATTAAGATTAATTTCTAGAACATTTTTTTATAGAAATTAAAAAAAGAAATTTTTATTTTATTTTAAAAAAAATAGAAAATAGAAGATAAAAAATAAAAAATAAAGTGTTAAGATAAGTTTTTTTTTACTATATATTTCTTTAATACAAAAAATGAAAAAAAAGAATAATATTTTTACAAATAACTCATTCCTTTAATTCAAATATTTTTTATTGTATTTTTTATTTTAAAAAAATAAAATTAAAATATCTCAAAAAATTTGTAAAAATTAGAAATAAATCTAAAAATAATAATAATAACAAATTTGAAAATAGTAAAAAAGATATTAATTAGTTTCTCTTAGAGTGAAATAAATATTTTTTAAAGTTAAAGTAAAATTTTGTACAATTAATTATAAGGTAACCGTTTTATCCAACGGACGTCGTAAGGTGCTAATACCTTCCTTACACGTAAACAACTCCCGAGCCCAAATTTGGTTTCGAAGATTTTTTTTTTTAATTAAAAGTTTTTCCAATGTTTTTTTAATAAACTTTGATAGCGACTCCTTATCATCGTCATCCCGTTGTGACCCCGGTTGCAATAGATGGCGACTCCACTAA